TCAATGTTTACTATTAGAGTTGACTCCCTGTTATTCAGATCCATGATTTTAGAAGGTCTTGGGTTCGAATCGTGAATGCGCACTGTTGAGGAGTCCCACAACGGGACAAAACGGTCGTCCAGTGATTCCAGGTTTTCAATGGTGGTCTAACATCAATTGGTCCATGATCTCAATCAAAAACTTAATAATCTCCACAATCTCATACTGGTAGTAAATAATTATTGTGAGTAGTATATTAATTTTTGATGAATCTGTTATGATCACCTGAACGATGTTACATTCATTGTTGTAAAGTATGATAGTAAGAATGTATGTAGTTAAATATTAAAACCAACTGATTCCTAAGTTACTTCACTGCAGAGATCACAAATTCTTATCGTAACTTTAAGAGAATACTTGTCAAATGCTCACAACTTCAGTGAATTTCGGTAAAATATTTTTTGGTGTGACTGAAGTCTGAAACTGTCTGGTCTTCGATAAATAGAATTCATAAAAATGTCTTATTTGTGATAAGAGTTATTAACTAATACTATATATATGAAATGAACAATATAGCCCAGATCAAAGCATCTGATTAGAGGTGAGACAGAGACAGAAAGTGACAGAGACACAGAGAGAGAGAGAGAAATAGAACATAGAAACAGGAAATATTTATAACTGAAAAATCAGAATAATATACTCACACGTATGTCACGTAATTATTGTTGTCAGTCTATCAATATCATGCACCGTAAGTTTAGTCTAATAATAATGACATAATGTTATCGTTTAAAATGTACAGTTCTTTTCAGTTGTTTCTTTTCTTCTTTACTTTAACTTATCTCTTTGTATACTTTGATGAATCTTATCTAATTTCGACTTATTTCATCCATTCAACTAATGTAAGCCGCATTGATTACTTTACAATAATGACATAACATATATGTATGTTGCACAACACATTATTGTTGATTTTAGATGTCTACATCAACTGCTTTGATCTTTGGTAAGTTGTTCATTTCATTAAAAGAAAAAGAAAAACATAAAAATATATATTGATAGTCTCAATCTTAACAACAATGTTCATCAATGTCAATTATTCATTTTGTTTAGTTTTCTCTCTTTTTTTTTCTTTTATTATCGAAAAGATTGTTGGATTTGATTATTGTAATAAAAGATGACAGCCTAGTTTATTTTCTCCAGTCACACATTATTAGTATTACAGTTAATTAAGATTGTAACCTGTATTAGATGAGATAATCAACTTATTGAGTCAAATTTATTTTTATCATTATTTCAGTAAGAGTTATAATATTTCTTTATAATTAGTATATGTAACATCATTGTATTCACTCCGGGAGTTGAACCAGGTACGGTTCGCTTCAAACACCATGGAATACTGAGTCCTGTTAGCCACTTGCTTGTGCAATAGGATGAAGTTTAAATTCACTTGGTGTTGTTTACTTGTATCTTACGATTGTTATTTAGGACTGCAATTGATCAGTCTCTTGTTGGCATATGTGCATCTTGTGCGGACTGCCTCGATATTGACTTAAATCACAAGCTTTATAAGCAAAGATGGATAGTGGTTAGCAGTGGAATCCAGGACGCACGTTTCGTACTGCAGAAGCAGGTGGCTATCAGGACTCTGTAGCTAAGTGAATAACGCGATGGCTTTCGAAGCAAACGGTATTGGGTTCGAGTCCCAGAGTGAACATCAACTTTAAGATGCAGGCACATCCAGTTGACGAGTCCCAAATGGGACGAAACGCGCGTCGTGGATTCCACTGTTAGCCATAATCTATCTCTGTTTATAACGTAAGCAATCTTTTAATTCAACAACAATAACAACAAAAGAATCAATCATATCAAGTTATTTCACTCATTCATTTAATCGACTACTCATTTTGTCATGCATTTATATTCACAATCATTACCTCATAAGCTGTTATGTTGATTACATAGTATTTTTTCATATAATATATTCAGTCTTTAGTAATAAGAATAGTAGGTTGATAAACATGTATTAATCCTTGCAGTTTGCTTTCCAGTGGAAATCTATCTTCTCCTTAAAAGTTTTTATTGATGAGACTGATATCGTTTATTCGAGTAGGGTGTTCTAATTGTTTACCCGTTGACGAGAAAAAATGAAGTCCTACACTAAGTTTATTTGATCGAGGTTTTTGAAACTTCATACATGTTAGTTATGCAGAGAGTAAGATAATAAGGCACGTTAACACTCAAATCATTATTTAGGACATGGCTTTCCTACACAAGGTCACCTCGTATCCCACGATTTTATAAGAGGATAAGGTTTAAGCGTTTGTAATGGAAGAGTTGGGAATAACTCATCACTAAACCAATTCTCGAATACTGAATACCCGCATATGTGTTAGTTTCCTTAATAAGACGTGTACTTGCTGCTTGGATTTAATATTCTAGATGAGGTCTCGAGTAAATGAGGTAAAAAATCCGAAATATATTCGTTGAAACATCTGAAAGCCTTACAACGTGACTAAAACACTCGGGAACTCTTGACAGCTGCTGATTTGCAATTCTCAGTTGTTTTCAGGTCATAACTCACTGTTACTCCTAGGTTTTTGTATTCTTGCACGTGTGGAAGCGGTGTACCATTGACAATGAACTGACGAACATTGCCATGTTCAGTGTGTATTTCCTTACTCTTTTTGAGATTAATCTCGAAACCTCAATTTTGGAACGATCTAACTAATTCGTCTACATAAATGTGTGGATCAGCATGGTTTATTTTACTACGTATTGTTCTCCAGACTTTGACATTATCTGTAAACAATATTGTCGACGACATGGGCAGTCTTGGTAATCCATTGACTTTAAGAAGAAAAAACAGGTAACCTATGACTATGTCTTTAAGCATTCCATTTTCAACTGGTTAACATCCATATAGTATCTCATTTACCCTCAGTCTTTGTTGCGAGCAAAAGAGAAAGTTTCTTATCTACTCTTGCATGATACCTGTTATTAAAAACTTGAAGAGCTTCTACATTAGACATGAGTAAGACACATTACCAAATTCCTTTGTTTTGATTTAGAAATATCACATAGACCGATAGACCTTAATCTTGGGTTGCTGTCCAATTCTCTTTCTCAGTTAGTCATTTAATTATGAAGGCTTATTCCGGAACCCGTATTTTTCAGGAGTTGTACGTGACTTAGTTAGATACGGTCTCTCTTTACACACTTAAATATATTTCTGATGATGGCATCTTTACACTTCGTAGGGAGTTAAACTTGAGAGAGGAACATATCGAATAACACTATGAGCGGATTTTAAATAATGTCCGTGAGAGACGACAGTAATCGTGGATGTCACCTATCAGGGCTTAGCAACTTATCAGCTTTGAAGTTACTACGTAATCGATGAATAGCTTCCTCAGTTACAAGCACTGGTTTTGTTGTTTGGTAACTCAGCAGTGTATCTGTGAAAAGTGTTGATAATAATATCCTCGGAGTAGGATTCGCTGAAACAGTTCAATAAGCTTTCAGCTTTGATCACATCTTATACAATAAACTTATCTGAATTCTCCCAAAACAGTAATATCCATCAGTAGATATTCACATAACTAATTTTTAAAATCAGCTCCTTACGGAATCCTGATTTTTGTTTACTTTGTATGTAATAATAAACTTGTAAAAACCAACAACAATAAAAGATAACTGGTAATATACCTAGAAAAGTCAATGAACTTTCTAAAACTCATTAGATTTTAACAAGTCTCATGAATCAGAGAAACGTAAACATCTTATATAGAGAGTTTTTATTATATATGTGTAAACAATGTGTACAAATTGGGTTTTGTTTCTAATTAAGAATAAATGAGAATGGAAAATAAGTGATTGAATGGATTTCTGAAAGATACTAAACAGTATGAATGAAAGAGAATATCAGGAGCTGATGAATAAAAGTCTAAATAGAAATCTTGACTAATTCTTTTTTTTTTAATTTTCCATGTACTTACTAATGATTAGTTTCTAAATACAGTTCTCAGGAGTTCTAATGAGAAATTGAGACCAGTGAAGTTCAACTATGTTAAGTGTGAGATAGATATCTACCAATAGAAAATCGAAGATGATTGTCTAATATTGGAGTTAGACATATATACCATTGGATAGCATGCCCAGTGATCTATATAAGACTAAAAGTCCTGAGTTCGACTCCACGTAGTGACGGTTGTAACTGTATTGGTCAGGAATCTCATATTACAATGAAATAGATGTTCAATACTTTATGGTCATGATTCAAACGATGAAATCTCTTCAATCTCTATAAATCTTCCTATATTAATAAAATCATATAAATAACGAATTGTTTACCATTTTCTTTGTTTGTTTATTCTGAATTTAAAGTGTTTTTGCTTTTGTTATTTTATTGTTTATTCGTTTATCATAAAAGAAATTAAATTCACTCAGGACAAATATTGATTTATGTTTTTTTTTATACTCTTTTCTTTAAAGCAAGAATAGGCTGTTGATTGTTTTCTTCCCACTTTGAATATGTAAAGAGTGTAAAACACTTTAGAGACAGAGAGGGAGTATTAACTACACTGAATTATTCTATGCCTATGTGTTGATAAACTTGTGTTCTATATTTTGGATAAATATTCTCATTTAGTTTTCAAATATGCCAAATATTATCAGTTAGTGTTACTTCAAAGTTGTGTACGTAGATAGATGAGTGTAACACAGTCTGTAATGTAGCCAGCAAATGGAATCCAGGACTCCAATTTCGTTCCATTTTTCACTTGTTAGCTGAATTTGCAGTTCAAATTATATTCTCATTGACAAGAATCAACTATACATATATAAATGATGAAGATTGTGTAAATGTTGTATTCTTTAACCTGAATGGTTTTAATTGTGAAGTTTTCATTATTCTTTCAGACCAGTCCCAGAGACCGTCGTCAAAACCAATTGAGGGTTCACATGTGGAATAAGTAACTACTTGAGTCTTATTTGAAGCGGGTAATCGATGGTGACGTTGTCTAGAAAGATGATGATGATGATGATGATGATGATGATGATGATGATGATGATGATGATGATGATGATGATGATGATGATGATGATGATGATGATGATGATGATGATGATGATGATGATGATGATGATGATGATGATGATGATGATGATGATGATGATGATGATGATGATGATGATGATGATGATGATGATGATGATGATGATGATGATGATGATGATGATGATGATGATGATGATGATGATGATGATGATGATGATGATGATGATGATGATGATGATGATGATGATGATGATGATGATGATGATGATGATGATGATGATGATGATGATGATGATGATGATGATGATGATGATGATGATGATGATGATGATGATGATGATGATGATGATGATGATGATGATGATGATGATGATGATGATGATGATGATGATGATGATGATGATGATGATGATGATGATGATGATGATGATGATGATGATGATGATGATGATGATGATGATGATGATGATGATGATGATGATGATGATGATGATGATGATGATGATGATGATGATGATGATGATGATGATGATGATGATGATGATGATGATGATGATGAGCGAGAGGATGAATTAGGATTCATTTATTTCCTATTCAACTGTTCATTTCATCTTTACTCATTCATACATATACACACATGTGCACATACTTGTACTTCTAACTTACCTTTAGTCGTTTGTTTAGTCAAAAATTAAGCTCTAGTTTGAACAATAGAATAAATTAATAACATATATAACAAAGGAAAACGCGTCAGGTAAAAGAAAACACATCATAGAACAGGACAATCAAGTAGCTCGTTCGAACAACACTAACACCACCAACGTCATTACCACTTAAATTGTTATTTACATTGAATGTGTTACTTCTCATTAATCCCCTTATTATTATTATTATTATTACAATTTTTCATAATCCACTCTATGTGTATGTGTGTGTGCGTGTTGATCACTCTATGTATGTATATTGTCTCGTTACTATTTTTATTCTGTTCACAGAAGAGATTAATATGAAATGACATAGACTAAACCATCATTATTATCTTTATCATAATGAACACATAAATTATATTGTGTATACATTTTGTCAATAAATAACTTAATTGTTACATTTTTTTTGTTTCAATTAAGTAGTCAGAAATTCATTATGTGATTATTCATTCTCATATGTTATTTCATGTATCATTTTTGTTACATGAATAGTTGTCTTTTATTTCTATTGATTTAATTCAATAGAGAAGGTACAAATATGAATGTTTTATTGTTAATAAGAAGAATAAATATAAGGTAGGTGGATAGGGTAGGATATTGGATATTAAATCAATCTTCTTAAAGTAATATACTCATTGAAAAACCAAACAATCTCTTTTGTATCCCTTGTTTGAATCTTCCTATTGATGTTTAGGATTGAAATTGGCATTTATGTATCTTGGGTGATTTGCCTCAATTTTATTATTAGTTCAAAGAGATTATAAACAAAGGTGAATGGTAGCTAACAGCGGGATCTAAGATGTATTTTTGGTTTTACTTGTGACTTTTCATTTGGATGTAATTGAATCCGAACTGATATTCATGCTCGTACTCAAACCCAGTGCATTTCGCTTTAAATACCATCGCATTATGCAGTTAGCTAATAAGTCCAGTCCTAAGAGCGAATGGGAAAATTCAAACAACCAAGAATATGAATTAAAATCCACCCTATTGCATAAGACGGTGATTATCTGAACTCAGTAGTTGAATGGATGCTGCGTTGGCATTTGAAATGCGAGGCACAAAGTTCAAATGCTTAAGTAGACATCAACTCTGGATGCAGATATGTCTAAATGATGTGTCCTGAATAGGATGAAATATGCTTTCTTGATTCCATTCCTAGTCACCATCCAGCTCTGCTTAAAGAGACCTAGCAGTGTTAAGGATATTTATGGCTATTGAAAAGTCCTGTGCAAAAAAACGTAACAATTATCCAGTGTCTCTTGGTTTTCAAAAATTCTTCGACTAAATTATCTAGACTATCTTCAAATGGAATATTTACTTTAAACTTTTGATGGCAAATATTTTGAATTAGACAACTGGAAACCCTTCTGACCAATGTTTTATGTCAGTTGGCACTCGTCATTAAGGAATAGCTGTAATTTTGAGGACACGGGTGTCCCCTGTGAAATAACTCAATATTCATAGACTATATAACCTCTGATCTAACATTTAATGAGACTATTGTTTTTGTCATCTGAAAGATGGTTTCCTTCATACGTCGACACCAGCTAACTGAAGGTAAATGAAGACTCGTAATTCGATTCTCCCTATTATAAAATCTCTTCTTAATGCTTACCTAGGGATAGAGCATGGAATATCCATATATTGTAGTGAACGTATAATTTAGGTTAAAATCCTACATTTCACATTTATAACATATCAATTCATGATATACCAGTCAATAATCGAATACTATTGATTGGTTTATGTGTAATTCCTGATGAGGTTAGAATTTGGTTAATCATGAATTTTCGCCAATTGTTCGCCTGTATTTCATTATTTATACCGAATCTTATCACGTTATTGCGTAATAGTCCTAATTTAAATGTACATAACCGTTAAGAGTAACTTAGGAAGGAACTAATGATTACTAACGCATATTGGGACATTATGGCTGAATCATTGCACAACAGGACTATATTTAAGTCACTCAACGATAGATCTGCTTGCCGATAAAGTCTAGGCTTCATTAAAACTCTGAACTGAATCAGATCTCAAACTATTGTGAAGCAAATGAACAAGAGTTTTATTTCACCAAATACAAACAAAACAGTAAATTATGAATCGCGAGAAATTGATCAGTTATTTTATAATCATGAAATAGCTCCTAGTTTAATTACGTTTACACAATAACTATTCAATTTGTTTTGTCTAACCACGTCACAAGACAAACCCTTACAGTGAATTGTCAAAGCCAAAGAAGAAGAAGAAGAAGGTCAAAGAACATATTACGCCGAGAAATGGAGACAGACATGATAAGAATGAACAAGAATTTAATAGAACTCGAAAGGAAGTCCCAGGATTGAGTGAGTTAGAGAATACTGGTCAGCGGCCTATGCTCCATTAGGAGTAACAGGCGTAAGTTAATAAGTAAGAATAAAACGTCAAAAAGAACTTTTCAATATTTCCAATAAGATATATATATTTTTTTATATTTTACTACATCAAGATTGAATATTCAATGAAGATGATACATATTTAGACGAGGTATTTTTTTCTCTCTCCAAAAAATCTTTCCATCCTAACAACTGTGACAATTTAAGATTAAACGGATTTCCAGCTTTCATATCTAAATTCCTGTTGTTAAGGTATAAATCTTGATGAAAAGTAGAGCTGTTTTTTCTTTACTTTTCAAAAAAAAGGTTCCTTCTTTTCGTTTTACTTAGTTTGAGATGCTAATCCTACGTTTATTCTCTCCTCTCTTCTATCTAGACTTTGAATTAGTAGTAATAAACTTTTTAAAAAAAAACAACTCTAGACAATGTTGAATTGGTAAAATAGTAAAAGAATAATTCAACTTTATTGTAAATCCATTAATTAGTAATTATACTTCATTGTTTGTTTGTTTGTTTGTTTGTTTTGAATATGAGATATATTTGATTGTTTGCATCAGTTATAATTTAATTACATATCATAATCGACACACACACACATACACACACATAGGTACTATGTAAATCCTAATAGCAATAAGAGTTAGACAATAATAGAGTTTGATGGATTAGTTATCAGGGATCTAAGTGGAGGGTAAAACCAATAGATTTTTCTTTTAAAATCTTGAATGATTACTTACTTTATTTTCACATTAATGAACCTGTCAAAAATAAACAATTGCATTTGTATCAGAAGGGGGTTTGTGGAAATTTTAGTAATTTCAACAGTTGAACTCATGCGTTAATTAAAGCTAGACCACTATGGAAAACCTGGAAGCACTGTACGGCCGTTTTGTTCTAGTATGAAACTTCTCAGCAGTGAGTATTTTCTGGAGTTCTACTGAGAAGTAGTGACCAGTGGAGTTCAATCAGGTCTGTTGTGAGATATCAGCTCACTAAACACAAAAGTGCACAATAGCACATTTTCATGGATTGGTTGAAGTTAGACATTAACACTGTTGGATGCCGGTCATCGCAGTGGTCTAATTGTTAAGCACTCATACGCGAAACTGATATGTTCTGAGTTGGAATCTCGTGTGGGTTGGGGTGCGGAACCGTGAATGCACACTACTGAGGAGTTCCATACTAGAACGGAACGGTTGTCCAACGCTTCCAGTCTTTCCATGGTAGTCTAGCTTCAGTTGACTCATGGTTTCAACTATTGAAATTATCACTAGAATTTCAAGGAAATCCCTCTCGAAGCTGGTTACCAATAAACACATAATTATTATCAGAATTATCTTTTTTATTAAAAAAATATTCATCAAAATAAATGTAAAAAATTCATCAGATTAACACAATACCCTATTTGTAATCATTTCTTTAGAAGAAGAAAAAAAACACAACTATATTTTTGAAATACCGGTATTTTATTATTGTATTTCAAAGAAACATGTAAACATATGAATTACATATTTAAACCTTGGCACATTGAAATAATGAAATAAGAGAAATCACACTACATAGTGACTAAATAGTCGTAAAACAGATGACTAAATTGTCTGTAGACCACAAAAAAACACACAAAAAAAACAGAACATTTCTTTTGATGTGTGTGTTATTATTACTATTATTATTATTATTATTATTATTATTATTATATTCACCTTAACCACTGAGTAAATAAATAATTGTAATCATTACCTATAATTAATTAACATCTGTCCATTGAAAATGTTATTGTATACTTTATATTGTATCTATTTTGATTATTTTATTCTTTTTTTTCTTTTTGATGTTACTTATATACTTTTATACTTTGAATCTATTCTAACTTATGTTAGTTGTTTGTTTTTATTTGAAACTTACAGTCTACATATGGTTCATCAAAATATACATTAATGTGTAGTATAAAAATTAGGTCAATTCAAGGGTGCATACTCAAATACATATGTGTTTTATTAAAGTAATTTGGAAAAGAAAAAATAAACAACCCACAGTAACAACCGTATATTCGTTGTAAGACTTTTTCAATTGTTTCAATAAGATCATTTTAAATTTTGTTTGAAAGTACTAATGTGTTTATCTGGGTGGTTTGTGAAAAAAAATTAAAAAGAAAAAGATTTTAGTCAATTGTCAGAAATAATGAACATAGAGCCCAGTTTATTCATTTATTTGAACATATAAATATTGGTACAAGAGGGCACCAAATATATATGCGCCACTTTTTTGTGTGGGCTGCGATACTACCCGGGTGACCATACCGAAACAAGTGGTTTTCGTAGGGGGCCACACCTCGAGCCTTTGACCTGAAGGTGTGGTCCACAATGCTGTGGGGCATCGTGAGGAGATGCAGTCCCATGGTAGCCGGTGACCAAAAATAGGCTGACTATATCCATTCTCGGCTATACCAGGGCATTGGAGGTAGACAAAGAATACGAAGCATAATCGAATTTACATTT